CCCGTCGCGGCCGGCAGGGCGGCGACGGGCCCGCCGGCGCCGGGGCCGACGAACCGGGAGACGAGCGCCAGCACGTCGTCGTAGAGCGCGGGGTGGCGGACCGCGACCGACGGCGGCGTCGTCGAGGAGAGGACCGCGCACGCGGCGGGCACGGCGTCCGGCGCGAGGTCCGGGGCCTGCGCGATCGCCATCGCCATCGCCCAGGCGGGATGGGTCGCCTCGGGCACGGCGGCGCCGGCGGCGTCCATCCGCGACAGCAGCGCCTCCGCCCCCGCGCGCTCGGCGAGCACCACGAACGCCATCACCGACCACGGGGTGACCGCGACCTGCTCGCCGTGCCGGGTGGTCCGCGGCGCGTCGCCGAGGTCGGCGCGGGGGACCTCCTCGTCCTCGTCGAGCACGGTGGCGCTCGGCGCGGACCCGGCGGACATGGCCGCCAGGTCGGCGGCGGGGACCGCGACGAGGTGCAGGTCGGCGGGCCACTCGCCGGCGTGGGGCACCCGCTCGTAGGTCGACCAGCCGCACCGCCGGGCCGCCCCGAGGGACATGAGGTGGTCGGCGGCGGCGATCCACAGCGGGGCGCGGTCCATCGCGGCCGGCCCGAGCACCACCGGGCGGCCCCCGCGCAGGGCGGCGTCGAGGGCGTCGAGGAGCAGGCAGAGGGTGGCGATCCCCGCGCCGCCCTCGGCGAACAGGAAGTCCAGCACGGCGGCGCGGCCCGGCTCCGCGGTCCAGGGCGGCGCCGGCACGGTGCGCAACGCCGTCGTGGCGACCTCGGCGTGCCCGAACGGGCGCAGCCAGGACCCGCTCGCCGCGAGATCGGCGGGCCGCACGGGCGATCCGGTCGCCTCGGTGGCGGGAGGCCCGCGGTCGAGCAGGACGTGGACGAAGACGTTGCCGGGTCGCCCGTGCGCGTCGGTCCCGCAGGCCACCGTGTGCCAGTACGCGGTGCCCGGGCCGGCCGGGGCGTGCACCACCCGCGCCGGGCGCGCGGCCAGCTGCTCCGGGGCGGGGTAGGCGGGCAGGCCCGGCACCGGGACGAACCGGGGCACGATCCGGCGGGTCAGCGCCGCGCGCTCGGGGGCGTCGAGGGTCCCGGCGACGTCCTGCACGCCCCAGCCGCCCGGCCGGTCGCCGCCGTCGGACGAGGTGTAGGTCAGCTGGGCGAAGCGCTCGGGGCGGTGCTCTCGGGTCATCGCCGCCGCCCCCAGGGCGGCACGGTCGGCACCAGGCGCAGGTCGGCCAGGGGCGGGTCGAGCAGGGCGACGCTCTCCCGCCGCTCGTCGGAGATGTCGACGAAGAGCCGCACGAAGCCGGCCAGGTCGCGGACCTCCGCCGACCACGCGAGATGGGGCGCGCCGGCACCGAGCACCGGCGGGACGAAGCGCGCGTTCGGCGGGGCGCCGTCGCCGTCGAGCACGACCGGCAGCGGGCGCCCGTCGCGGGAGTGCAGCGGCAACCGGTCGGGGTGGTGCACCAGCACGAACGGCGGCGGGCTCGGCAGGTCGATCTGCGACTCGATCCGCAGCGTCACGTCGGTGAGGCGGCCGCGCAGGCTCCGGCGGTGCACGAGCGCGTAGCGCAGCCGCAGCAGCCCCTGGTAGTTCATGCTCGTCGGTATCGACAGGATCGTCCGGCCCTCGTGGAAGGCCACCGCGACCAGGTGCAGCGAGCAGCCCCGCGGCGGCAGCGGCGTCTCCACGGTCATGCCGCCGT